GGGCCCCACAACACACCCAGCCCCCCCCCCCCCCCCCGATTCTCTCCCCCATCCCACTGGGTGGGGGGGAGTAAGCAAGTGGCTGCGTGGTGCTTAGTTGCTGGCTGGGGTTAAACCACAACAGTTACATACAGAAAGTGGGGGATCTTGAACTAGCCTAGCAGCTTATGGCACTGATCCATGAAATTGTGTAGTAGTCATTCTCATTTAGAGTTCTCCAATATTAGGATATTGGTTTGCTATTTTATTTTGCTTCTCTAAACAGGCCACAGACTCTGCAATTGGGATGTTATCACAAGGATGGTCTCCAGTCCATGGCCTTTATAGTCAGGAACTGGAAGCCTGAGTGAAGTCTTGCATTTTAATAAACCCCTCATTAACTTACGAGCAGCTTAAGACTAACAAACCAGCCATCGGAAAACCCCTGTGCTGCCAACAGGGCAACGCAGTGTGGAAATTCAGACCACGTAACGTACCAGCAGGAAGAGACCAACAAAGGAATCCAACCCCAAACCCTACAGAAACTTTCTTTAATGAAGGACATTATCTTAGACATATAGGGGCACATTTCTGTCCCTTCAGAAATTAGTCACAAACCACACTTTGCAATCAGGTTAAACATTAACCCCAGGACATTTTGGATACACAACTCCAGAAGGAAGCAGTTCCTGTGCTGCTAGTGCAGGTGCAATCTGTAATGCCAGCAGGATCAGATGGGCACAGGAAACTTTGCCACTGTGCCACCTGACACTACTGCGTGCAGGTCTAGATTGCAAGATGGTAAAACCTCAGCAACCTCAATTATGCTGTGGCCTCCTCAGCTATGATTCTTACTGCCCTTGCATTAAGAAGGCCACCGTCACCATGAAGCCTTAGCTTTCATGCCCTAGAACTAAATCGCTTTATACCCCATTCTTGCATTCCCTATCTATTCACCTGAAAATAAATGCATTCTCTTAATGACAGCCTGTGCTGGCACTTATCATCTTTATTCTTTATAGCCATCAACCAGGCTGCTGCTGCTATTCAAATAAGAATTCAAAGGACTTACACTATCTGCTTATGCCCCTCCACCTCTTTTCTTTAGCGGATTATTAGCCCACTGCTGTTTATGGGTGGGATTTCAATCTCTACCAAGCAAACCAAGTGCACAAAAACTTTACTCTCAGACTCCAAAGGGCAGTTACTCTGTTTTAATGCAGAAGTGTATTAAAAGAGATACCATCCCAGAAACCTTCCGCTCAGATCAATCTGGAGCATTGCCTTCCCAGACTCTCAGTTTCTGGAGGACGTTGCATTAGTGGTGACAAGACCTGCAGAGCATATGGTGGAAATCTCAAGGGTATACTTGGCCTGTAGGTTGCACTCTGAACACCTTTGAAATAAAGTCTGCTATATATCTTCCTGCTCCAGCATGTTTTGCAATTTGAGAATAACTTAGAAAATTACCATAAAGAAGTAGGCAAAGGTAGACTATACTCACGGATTAGAATTAGGAGAGGCTTAAACAAAGACATTTGAAAGAATGTTCTGCAATTCCTAACGAAGGGGTCATCAGGATTCTTCTGAGAATCCACCTCAGTACCAAAAGCTACGCTACCAACGACATCCAAGGTAAAGCAGTTGTAACACCTGCATTGAGTTGAAGAATGATAAATCATTAGCTACAAAGTACATACCCATTAATATCTTGCTTCTACAAACATCACATAACATTAATTTTTGCTTCTGATTTTTTTTTTGCTTTTAGATTTGAGCTTTGCCAACAAGAGATGTTTCCATCATTCTGACAAATGCTGATGCTTAATAATGATCACCTTCTCTCTATCTACAAAATGAACATATTTTCATATAGCTCAATAATTCCACTAAAAATTTATTAAAAATAAAAACTTTCATTTGTTATTACCTAGAAATCAAATGTAACAGGTCAAAGATTCATAAGCATTTTCTTAGTATGCGTCCTAATAAAAGCGGTCATTCCTTTCTCGTTTTAAACTCCAGAAACCACATCTACTACCAGTCCAGTCTAAACTCTCAGTGACAAGACGTGCTTAAGTAAAATTTCCTGTTAAGGATTTCCTTCTTCTTCTTGATAGTTCCTTTGTAACGTAAAATTGTGGTCAAAAACAAGACGAACTGACACCACATGAAATCTGTATCTCTGCAGAGGAGCAGCAAATGCTTTGAGAACTACAAATGATCTGTGGACCATGATCTAGAAACTTCAGAACTTACTGAATCTCTCCCCACATATCTGACCATCTACCCAGTTGTCTCGCCATCTTTATTTCTGCTGGGCATTAGCAGCTATATTTAGTTTTGAGATAAATGGACTGAGAATGTAAAGCATCCTTGAAATATGCTTCTTCTCATCTGTGGTCAAGTCTGCAATGACTGTCCCTCTATGTTCCCTTACAAAAGCCTAATATCAAATTATGTGGTGTTATAACCTGAGTGAGCATGTATTAAGAGAAGGACAGGACTCAGGCCCAGTATCTCCTGTATATATATTGTGAAACAGCATTTCTAAACTGTGATCTTTGGGCACTGTCATTCTGATGACACCAGAAGAGATTTGGAAGATAACAACAATACTGCAAAGCTAAGTAACTTTGGGTTTTCAACTCCTACACACACACACAAAAAAAGCAGTATTAGAAGTTGAACTATTAAAACAGAGGGGCCCTGCAATAAAACAATAATTTCAGAAGCACTCGATCATCTACCTCTCCAAGGTACTGAAAAAGCTTAAAAACTAAATTTTGAGTTGTTAGTGAAACACAAAATGGCTAAAGACAACGAATGTACAAGATGTCAGAAAGTTGCAAATAGGGTATTTACATCCAAAAAATAGCTCCCAAGGCAATTCTGGGAAACTGCAGTACAATGAGAATTACATTTATCGATGTCAAACCTGCTGAAATGGTAGTATGATAAAACAACTGGAAGATCATATTCTGAGATGGTCAACACCATTCATTTATACTTTCAAAAGGTCTTTTCCAAAGTGCCTCTTGAGAGGTGGAACCTATCATGGATCAATAGCTAAAAGACCAGGCAAAGAAAAAGGACAAATGGAAAAAAGGGAAAAGCCTGGAAGGACTCAAAAGGTCAATTTTCATCAGAGCACTAGGCTAAGTGTAATGTATCTCAAGGTTTCATAGCATCTCTTCAGATGATTAATAAAGAGATCTCTGTGCACACACATACACTTCCATGCATACATACACATGTACTTGAAAAGAGACGGATTAATTGTGGCTAAATATCCATTTCTTTAGATGAAACAAAATTATTTGCACTGCTTCAGTTCGGGGGAAATCATGAAGAACTTCAGAGGGTGCTGGCCAACCCAGCAAATGAAGTGTATGCAAAATAGTCCCTATTAGAAAGAATGCATTTGAACTGCTCATATGCCGCACAGGGTCCTAGAAGAAATGCATCTGCTTAGAGAAGGGGCTAGACAGTGTTGTGAACAGTTCAGTGAAGACCTCTGATGAAAGAGCAACAAAAAAGATAATAGGATATTAAATGCATAACAAATGGGAGAAAGCACAATATGGAAAATATTAAAGTGTCATTTTATAAATCAGTGGCGCATTCTCATCTGGAGTACCGATCCCATCATTTCACAAAAGGCTAGCATGCCATTAGAAGGGGTTAGGAGGAATGTGGTAAGAATGATTAAGTGCTCAAAAAACCTCATATAAAAAAAGCAAGAGGGTGATGGACTAGAGGAATTTGATACTAGATCAATTCTTATATTTGTACATTATTGGCAGACTGTAGAGAGCAGACTGGACAGGGACTGATGCAGCTTTCCTTTCTGCTTCCAGCTGTTAAAACTTCATTAAACAACAGCTAGAAATACATTAGATGCTTTTTCCAAAATTACTTTTCAAGTATGCAATGGCTGCCCCCAGGAAGAAAAGGCATCTATCAGACACATCCTCTATTAAGCTATGATCTCCACTTACAAAAGCGAGGGAGGAAAAAAAATATCTTCTTTTATTCAGTAAGTGCATATTTAGTATAACTGCTGCTATTGACTTTTTTTTTTTAAATCTGCTGCTAATTTCTGGCACGTTGAACATACCTCTGGATATCAAAAGCTTTGCCAGAGTCTGCATAGACTTTCAAGTTACACAGCAGGACATCACAGGCCTGGTTTATTAGCGGTGTCATCTAGAAAGGAACACATTGTATTGTGAAAAACATTAAAATGTTAAAAACAAATAATCAATTATTCTAAATTAGTTTTATCCAGTAGATGAGATGGAGCTCTCAGGATCCTCTGCAGGTGTGGTCAGGCATAGGTGAGATGAAATGTTGGGACTGTCTGCTAAAAATAAACCTACACATTGCAGGGATGCCCTTCTCCAGCTCTGGGCCTAAATTACGAGAGGCCCTGTCGCTTACCTGACCTCTGGTTCTTGCCCATCTGTGGCTATATGCACAGAGAGCTATCAAGCAAAGACATCTCCCTCTCTTTTTAATCATTCCCTCTTCCAACTGATGATTTATCATTATCCACATTACATATAGGCTACATATGCTCCAGAAATAATATTTTCCATAGTCCCAAAGTCCTGTAAAGATATTAGCATCAGAGGCCCAGCATTTCCATCCTGCTGTCCCTCGGTTTGAGGGATTTAATGTGTACGTTAGAAAAGCACCATGTATACCACTACAAGTTGCTGAGGGCAAACTGCTATTGCTACCCGAGAAAAGGGTTTTCTGGAGTGGTGATGCCATTAAATGGACATTCACATGAATTTATTCAGCTAATGGCTCTTTCCAGTCACTGACATATGATAGTCAGGTAGACTTACCCATAGCCTGGCTGTAGCTAACAGTGCAATAGTCTTCTCTTTAGCACTTCATGGAAACCATGACATAGGCAACCATCAAGACCTCATTAAAGTCTCTCTCTCTTTAACTTTTTACATATGAAAGGCATCAGACACTTGCCTTGATTACACCTACTAGGGGGGCAGAGGAAGGGTGTAGCAGTAATCCAGCCATGACCTTAAAGGCATTATCTGCTATGGCTCTTTCTCGATATAGACTGCCGAGAGATCCTTACAGCCTACAATTTAATACCACAGTCTTGCCTCAACAATTATGCCAAGCATCAGCAGACATACGCACAGAAACCTGCTTTTCCTTCCTGAACAACCTCCTTCAGCATACGGATGTCAACAAACACGAGAACAGACTTGTCCTACTCTTCTGACATTCTTGTTACCAAAAAAGACTTACTGCAGCCTCTCAGCACACTCCGAGAGCTATGCAGCCTGCCCAGCCAAGTCCATTTTGCTTGGCACTTCTACCTCTGTGAAACTGGCATAACACTTTGTGCACAGGCACACTGCCATCCTAACACATGGGCAAGACTATACGCAGTCAAAAGGCCAACGCAGGAGCATCCAACATGTTTTCCAAAGGCAGAAGTCTGAGTCAAGAATGTGTCTAGCTGCTCTCGAGGTCCTGTTCCTATATGGGACGGAACAGGTTGTCGCTATTTCAGTTCAAAGCTGGATTGATTTGGGCTTTGCCACAGTCTCGCAAGACAATTCTAAAGCTGGATTAGTATTCAGTAAAAGTAGCTGGTATGTGTTTGGGAGGTGCACACCGTGTTATGTGGCAGGTTTTTTCCCCTTTTGGCTTTCTAAAGAAGGTCCCCTGCAGTGAGCTGCTTCTCAAATGGTTCAACAAAATTAACACATTTCTCTTCAATAGACTGAACCAGGGTGAAATGCTTTATAATCTCTGGGTCCAGCCCCTTGAATGAACTGAACCAGTCAAGGAGAACAAAATGAAAATCCATATTTTAACAGGTATGATGTTTCCTAAACAGATGGCGATCATTTCAGATTTTCCTTTTATTGCCTTATTTTCCCTTTTATTCTTCATCACATCACCAGACCTGCAACCACCCAGCTGGTTGCTATTGCTTTCCAACAGCTGGCAGAGATGGCAGGGGCATGTACGACTGGCCAGGGCATCTCACAACACCTCTGCACTTTGCACATTCCACCAGCCTTTCAAAATACTGTTGCAATTCATTTCTAGCCATAAGATCTTTTTATTAGCAAATCTAACCAGGAAAATGGGGAGGGGGGCACATGGATTTGATTTATTGCTAGCATGATAGGACAGAGTCATATCAATGAGACAATTATTTGCATATGAAAGCTATGGGGGATATCTACTCAGGAATCCTGGGTTTGGGTTTGGGTTTTTATTCCCCTGAGGGACATAAATTAGTCCAAGACTGCTAACTACAAAGACCACAGACTGAAACACTCTCAAATCCCTTAACACTTTAAACTCTTTGTTCAATTGTCAAGAAAAACAAAGTAGTGTTGGGGGAGGTGAACTATACCAAACTTTGAAAACCGGCATAGAAACAGGCATGTTGATCTGCATCGCCTTGGGTATCACTAACTTCCTATACATTATCATTTGCCAGTCAGAACATAAAAGCTGCGTAACCTGCCTGAGATTCAGTACTTGGTGGGTAAACAAACCCCAGCTGCTCTGTGTTCAGATTGGCTGAGAGTAACAGGATGAAGAAAAATCTAAACAATATGGTCCCTGTAAATATTTGATCTGCCAGTTATCTAATAGCAAGAGTAGCCCAGAGTCCAAATTTCTTTCTTTCTGCCAAAGAAGAGCATTTGGGGTTAGGGTTTTCATGATGCCAGGGGCTTTGCTGTATAAACCCTGCCAATATGCTATTTGGCGCATAACAACAATTAGTTTCTGATTCTGCTACGCACAGTGCATGGGGATGTTTGCACTGTTCAAAGGCATCAGAGTCACATTCCTCTAGTCAGATGCGGTCCTCAGTATTCACTATCATCACTCCCCTTACTATTAGCATCCAAACTATGAAGTAGAAGGCTGGGTCATATTCACTGCAGACAGACACATTGGAGACTTTACTGTTCGCATACAGTACGCAGAAGTCGCGTTGGGCCTCTTGTCTCACAAATGGGATGAAATATAAAGGAAGGAGAAGGAAAAAGGATACATCCCTAACGTCAGAATTGCTTCTGTACCAGATTTCAAGTCCCTGACTAAAACCAGGAAAAGAGCGGAGCATCAGGAAGATGTTTGTGAGAGGATTTGTCTTCATCACCTCATAGTGGGGCCCTGCTATCCACGGGCACAACTTACCAAAGTGAGCAACTCAACCAGACACTGACTTGTGGCTCAAGGATGTGCACATTTCACATATCAGCTTTTAAGTTAGTCATTTGCTTTGTCTTAGGTGAGCACACTTGCTTTGCTGAGTAACAATAATAATTTCCAGAGATCCTTCCAAAATGCCTCTGACCAATACGCACAAGCAGAGTAAGAGCAAATCAAGGAAACCTCAACGGTTGGACTGTCAGATCTTATGTTCTAGCGGGACCTGGAAGATCTACATGCCTGAGAGTGACACTAGAGGATTTTCCTGCACTGTTCTGCCATGTTATCACAAGTTCTGCTTTGTGTCTCCCTTCGTTTGAATGAAAATGCCTCAACACAAACTCCACTTCACAGGTTATTTAGGACAATGCTACATTATGCTGTGCTCTCTTCTTTAATTTTTGTGTTCTGTTTTGTTTTAATGGTTGGTTAATGGAGGAGACGATTCCCGGCATACTGATAGGAGATGACAAGACTACTGCAGCACCATCAGAATAAATAAAAATCAATAGGTTTTCTGCTGGTGTTGGCTGTAAAAGAGAGCAAAGCTATTTATCAAGTCTGACAAGGGGTCCAGAATTGCAGGATCATCACAGGCACCACAGCAAAAAGAAGAGGAACAAAATAAGAAATACTAAATAGGGAATCAAGATTGGTACAGCAAGATCACTAACATATCAGCTTGTTTCAATACATAATAGCTGTGGAGAGCATGACAGGAACACTGGGAAATGCATCTTTTACTTAAGGGCCTCGAGGTATTTTACTTCACCAATTCCTCATGAATTACATCTTGGAACAACTTTCATTGGTCGGTATTATTCCCATTTAACAGACGAAAGTTGTTTCATGCACAGAGAATTTAAGTAGCTTCTGCCAGATCACCCACAGGCAGTCAATGGCAGAGCTGGAAGTGAAACTTCTGGGGTCGACTGCCTCCTGTCTCTCATTTCTCATTCTTACTGCTCCCATAGCAATGCCACTACGAGGTCCATTCAGGGGTCTCACTGGAAAAAGCTTATTAACAGATCTGCTACCAGCTCCAGTGGCATCTCACGTGGGATGCCACCAAATCTTACTGCAGGATCAAGCTTAGAAGTCTATTGATTTATGCTATGCTCACCACTATAGTATTCGAATTTAATGTTATCCAGAGCCAAAATTTCCTTCAGTTGGAGTGGACTGCTTTACTAATCTTTACATACTCTTCAAAAAAAAGAAAATTACAAAGGGAGAACGCACAATGTATAGAAATCCATAAAAGCAACAGTAAAATGGTGCATAGCTTTTGAAGAGAAATTGAGATGACAGAGAGGGAAAACTGGAGAAAATACCACAAAATCTTGAAAAATGTTAGGAAAACAATTCTCTGCATACACGCAGCAATCACTACATGGGCTACCCAATAGCTCTATAATCTCTAGTTTCAGTTACTTGCTCATAACTCTGCAAACTTCAAAATTTCTGGGATCAGCTTTTCCTCATCTAGTGACTGGCTACTGGAGATTTTTGACAAACTAAGGGGAAATTCCTCAAGCTTAGTGAACTTCTTAGTGACACTACACTGCTTCCGTGGAGAGACAAGGACAAAGTGCGCCTCTGTCCTCAGCCACAGCAGCTAGATGCCTCTGTGAGGAATTGCCCGGTAAACCTTAGCAACAGGCATTAGCTCCGTCTTGCGTTTTGTCCTCCAGCAGCCAGGCCAAAGAGTGGATGACCGGCTTCTTGTTCTTGCTAGTGCTGAATCTGTCTTTTAGCCCAGTAGCAGATTCTTGTGTTTCTGAAACGGAGATATCAGGAACCTACGCTCAACTCTCTGGCCCTCTCTGCATCTTTTATCTGACGTGATTGCTATGGGGAGCACAAGCAGTTGTTAACATTTATTGTTCTGTCACAGGCTAATAGCTCCCAGTTCTCTCAGAGCATCCAGACAGACAAGTCTACGCTCAGAGTGGTACTAGGGGCTGCAGCATTCAAGGGGAACCACTCTTCAAAGGCACTCGGGAGGTCTGCAGTCTCCCCAGCATCACTGGGGAGTTTGCATAGGGGAACAAAGGCAAGGCAGACATCCAAAGTGAACAGAGAGGAAGACTTTGGTGGGGGGGGTTGTCAAAGCTCAGATCTCTGTGGCAAAGAAATCAATGGCTTAGGAGAAGAAATGTGTCTAGCAGTATTTATAAATATGTATAAAACAACATATCCAGGTTCTTGTGCAATAAATTAATACCAAAACTAGCTTATCTGTAACTCCTTTGAGGTAGAGAGGAAGAGTTTATTATAAACAGGATGTCTTCTACATAACTTTGAATACTCTGTAGTATGGCAAATACTAGAACATGGCATTTTTATTTCCATGCTGCTGTAGAGGTTCTGAGAGAGCACTAAATATGGGAGAGTTAAAAAGTGAGATCATAATTAATGAGCATTGATTTCCTTTGAGAAGAGTTGGTATGGCTTCTAAATCAAGCAACAGCAAGAGAAGCACATGGGTGAGAACTTAAGTTGCATTAACTTCAAATCCCAGGACTGTTCATGTATTTGTGTAGAAAATGAAATGCAGGGCTGAGGAGTGCATCCATTCAAAAGAGATTCTTAATGTCACATGGACTTACTGCAAGTGTCTCTGTGTAGGGATGGACCATCTTCTGATGAAGACATGGGACAGAGGCACAAAGTTGGGCCTTTCAGAGGGACCTTCCCCACCCCTCATTTTCCCACTTTCTGTGGACTGGGAGGAGAAAGTGACCATTTCCAGGTCACCCTGAGCCCACACGCAATCGCACCCCTTCCACAGAGTTTGGAAGAGGCAGCGCAGGGAAAGCTGATTATCAGGCTAAAAATAAAGATCCCAACTTTTGCATAGGAGACGGCTACCAGGCACTAGCCAGCCCCCCATTTTACCTGCTACTGCTATTCCTGCATTGCAGCTCCACCACCAAGCAGTGCAAAGTGAGCACCGTGACTTCTCGTCCCACCCTGGTTTAATCAGTCAAACCCTACAAACCCACGCAGGCCTGGCCCCAAAGTGCGATGCCCAAGGACTCCGCCTGCTCGCCCTCACCGCTCTCCTCAGTCAAGTCTGCCCGGCTGGTGCTGGAAGAGGTTGCTCTCTGCAAATTGAGGGGAGCGCGGCTTTATCTTTTGTTAGTCTGCCAGCAAAGAGCCGATGACCTGCAGTAAGGCAGATTAATTTCTGCTAGGAAAATGCAAAACTCTCCTCTCCCCACCACGCCATGAGCAACTAATCGCTTGCATATTTAAACATCCTCGCCTCGCTAAAATTTCGTGATGGAGCCGGTGACAGAGCAAATGTCGGGGCGCATAACCAATGGCATTGTCAGTCGTGATTAATCAGCATCTCCGCCAGGCTGGCGGCCAATTAGAATTTACCATAATAAGGAGGTGACAGCCGGTGTTGCTAAGCGACCGCTGTCTATAGAGCTGGGAGAGCCAGACACATTTAGATGTTACTGTGGATTTCGACAGCGGCATGTCAAAACAACACAAGCGTCTGCCCAGTGGAAAATTTTACAACCCAGGACTGGGCACCGAAGTGAGGCATGGTTCCCTTTCAGAATAAAATACATAAAGGAAGAGTTGGGTTTTTGTTGTGTTTTTTTTTCTTTTTTTTCCCCTTGAAAGAAGACTTTAACCAGTCAATCATTTATCTGTGTTTAATTAAGAGATATCGTGTCACTGAAATAGGACTTTGTTACCGGGTAATGGGTTCCCATGGCTAAGTAAATGCTGAGACATTTATACAAAATTAGCAGCAGGTCAGCATGGAGACATTTATTTTCAGTCAGGGGTATTTATCTGGCAATGACATTCTGTTCCAGTGACTTATTTTATTATATGAAAGGATTAAAGAATAAAAGGGGGGGGGGAAGGAGATGGTGAAATGAAAATAGACTGACAGCAGTTCCCATGTTAACATGAGAGCTGCTGACTCTGCAAATCACAAAAAGCTATGTTCCAACTGGGAGCAATAACCTTTCCCGTACTTTAGCTTACTCCTAACAGGGTCGGGGGAGGAAGGTGTAAGGGTCCTTTTTGAGTTTGCTACACTATTATGGACAAACTGGCTTATATAGAGAAAGACGGAGGATCATATCTTCAGATGAGCTATTCTGATTTTCACCAGTCTATGAGATGGACCACACCATAAGTACGCTCTACTTCCATGTGCTCTTCAGGTCTAAATAAACTGGCACAAAGTAGCAGGTTTTACCTATTCTTAATATGGACCTATAAAAAGTAGATGCCTGCACAAAAGAAAACAATTATGTCTTCTAAAGTATGAAAGCAGCACTGTCTACACCTTACCTCTTTCAGTTTAGTACTGCTGAAGGCTGGGGTCAGGAGGCTCCGGACATACTTCCATCTGTCATCACGAAGACAAAGGATGCTGTCAAGCATTGGCTTGGAAATCAAGTTCGGCTTCTAAATCAAAAGAAAACATGATTCAGTTTTAACACAAATGCAACTAGAGCTACTCGAGACTCTGGAACTTGGAAAGATTGGCCATGAATGGAGTTGCACTGCTGTCCCACGACGAGAGAGGTTCGAATCAGTCCCAAACACCAAGCTAAACAGGGATGAGGCTGGAGAAAATTTCTCTTTTGCTGCATACATTTCCTCTTGGGCTTGTAAAAGCCCCAGGCTAGTCCAGTAACTCCTTGCTCAGGCTGTTCTGGTTCCGTCGTTCTTGGTGTTCTCCCGCGATTGTCAGTTCTCCTTTGCTGAACCCTGGCTTATTTCCCCCCTTTCTAAGGTGACTAGCAAGAGGACCTGTCAACACTCCCTCTCCATGTGACATGAGTGCCAACGCACTGCACGCGGGTGTTGGTGGGGGACACAATTTCTGGTGACAGCTGGTATGTCAGACTGTTACATGCATTTTAAAAGTCTTCAGAAAATATGCTGATTAGAAAGCAAGTCCCAGTCCTTAGTCTGTCTATAAGGAACACTCTCACTAAGAAGTTGTGGCCTGGGACTCTTACAGCTTCAGGAGTTGGTCAAACATAGTAGTTTAAAGCACTGCCCCATGAAGTTCTGTACCAAGATGACTGCTATGGATTTGCTACATTTTAATCCTCCCCCACCAACTAAGAAATCCCTATCCAGAGAACAGCGATATTCACCGAGGAGTAAAAAGATAAAAAAGATGAAAGAGGAAGCGTGTCAGAAAACAACACAATTACACCTGGAAGAGGTGTCAGGAGATGTCCAACCCCATAGCAGAATCTACTACAACGTATATTATTGCCAGAGGATGTTTCCTAGTTGTTCTTGAAGGCCTCCAACAACGGAGATTCAATAACTTCCCACGCAAACTCTTCCAGTGCTGGAAGTACCATTGCCTTTGCTGGAACTTAACGGTCTTTAGTTCTTTGTGCTATCACAGGCATAGAAAACAGGTTATTCTCTCCCTCCTTGCAGCAGCCCATGTGTACAGAAGGCTATTATAACCACTAATCATATTGCTGCTGTCTACCTCAAATAACACCAATTCACTCAATACATACTTATCAATAGTGGGAATGTTTGTTCAGTCTTGTTGCTGTCCCTCTGCACAGTCTTGTTGATTTACGTCTTTCTCAAGGTATAGTCCCCGTGACTTGACATGGTACTTAGACAAAGAAGGATTTTTTTTCATGCTTTCTGCAGGCTATATTCCTCTTTATTCACCCCAGAACACGACATACCACAGCATTACAATGTTGACTCGTGTACTGGCTTGTGGTTCCCTGCAACTCAGACTTTTTTTCTGAATAATTACTCCCTAGGAATTTATTCCCCAGCCTTTATCATTAAAGTTGGTTACTCCTAAGAGTCATATACAGAACATGTCCTTGTTGAACTGTGACCATTCTTTTTATGATTACTTCTCCAACTGATCAAGACCACTTTGAATTGCAGCCCTTTCTTTCATAGCATCTTTCATCCTTATCAGCTTAGTACCTTCTGTATAATTTGTTACCACTCAGTGCCATCATCTAACCCATTAACAAAAGTACACAATAGCACTTGCAAAGAAGCCACCTCTGGGATCCTCCCAGCTCATGCTTCCCTTCTGACAGTGGACTCTTCCCAAACACATTTTAAGTCATCTTCAAACAGTATTTCAGGTATTGTACAGCAATGTCCTCCAGACAAACCATCCTAAAGTTGGTGGGTGGGGGTGGAAGGTGTACACTTTTGTAGATATCAGGATGTACAGAGACACTTACTTGTGCATGCGAGATCTCGCACCCAGGCCCCTGCCTACCTGCCCAGGGTAGCAGTGGCAGTACAGTCCCCCATGTTATCAGTAGCAGCAGTATCCACTTTACTGGAAAAGACCCAAACAAACCGAAGACACTTCGGCCTTCCCAGTGTCATCTGTTGATCCCTTTCACCCTCTAACGTTTTCTTACAGGCTTTCTTTCATTACTAGTGTACATGAAAAATTAGTTCTTACCACCTGTTACACACCTGGATACTTTAATCTCATTTTGTGCCTCAAGACTTCTAATTCTCTTACCCCTACATGCTTTTTTCTTATCCTTGTTCTTGGAAATCTGACCTACTTCCCACCGTAAAAAACCTTCTTCTCTTCAGGTGCCATGAAGAGCTGACAATTTAGCTACACTGGTCTTCTACTGCACTTCCTTAACTTTCCTCTTTATTGGAAGAGTTTGCACTTAATATCTTTTCTTTAAGGAGCTGCCAGCTCTCCTTAACACCTTTTTCCTTTACACTTGCCAGAATCTTGCTACACTGCATAAGCTTGTAAAATGCAGAAGCCTATTTTATATTGCAAACAGGCTAATGGGATAGTTTTACATTCTCAGCAACACCACCCCGTGTAGTAAACTAATGTCACTGAGCTGACACTACAGACCGGTTTTGAGCGAAGATGAGCTGTTTTCAAGTAGAATAGTACATAGCAGGATATTAAGCTGAAGGAAGAGACTGACTCAGTGTCCTGGTTTCAGCTGGGATAGAGTTAATTTTCTTTCTAGTAGCTGGTATAGTGTTACATTTTGGATTCAGTATGAGAAGAAAGTTGATAACATGCTGATGTTTTCAGTTGTTCCTAAGTACTGTTTAGACTAAGTGAAGGATTTTTCAGCTTCTCATGCCTGGCCAGCAAGAAGGCTGGAGGGGCACAAGAAGCTGGGAGGGGACACAGCCAGGACAGCTGACCCAAATTGGCCAATGGGGTATTCCATACCACGGGACCTCATGCTCAGCATATAAAACTGGGGGGAGTTGGCCAGGGGGGCAGATCACTGCTCAGAAACTAACCGGGCATTGGTCAGCGAGTGGTGAGCAATTGCATTGTGCATCACTTGGTTTGTATATTCCAGTACCTTTATTATTATTATTTTCATTTTATTATTATTATTTTCTTCCTTTCTGTTCTATTAAACTGTTCTTCTCTCAACCCATGAGTTTTACTTCCATCCCCCCCCCCCCCCCCCCGATTCTCTCCCCCATCCCACTGGATGGGGAGGGAGTGAGCGAGTGGCTGCGTGGTGCTTAGTTGCTGGCTGGGGTTAAACCACAACACTCAGGTACTCTCACCAGATGACTACTGTAAGATAAAATATGGGCACATTTTTAATGTATACATAGACTATCCTATTTCAGGCAATAACAAGGATAATTTGGGACAGGCTGTCAAAGCTGAAGTGGTTTGGACTGTTTTCTCTGAGTATCCTCTTTAAATAAATGATCTGTTTTCTAACTTGTCAGGAGGTACCTGTTCTGAGGATCAGAAGTGCAGCCAGAGAGACCATCATTCACTGGAGTGCTGCTTCATTTGTTACAGATATTCAAAGTTGTAGTAGAACCAGAAGACAGAGGTTCCGGACAACTGGAAATGAGCATCACCCTTGGTGAAAGTACTGTATGCTAGCCTCTGCTCCACAGTTCTTATGTGCTGCTAGGGCTAGGGAAGCTCTTTACACTAAAACTTGACTCAGCTGGTCACCAAATAAGTATTCCTTATATCTTTGGTCTTCAGTTTCAAGCCCTGAGGCCCAGATTGCAGAGCTCCTGAGCACTCACTAATGCCACTGAAATCAACAACAGGGCATGCGCCTTGATCACACAAAATGCATTAGTGCAAGAAATCAGGTCACTGAATGGAGCCTCCAAATTAGCAAACACTCTCAGACCTGTGCTTCAACCACCAGCCTTCACTCCTGATTTAGAGAGTGGAGGTATCACATCACCTCCTCAGAACCGCTAATGATACATTAACATTTCTGAGGCACTCAGAAACTACAGTGAAAGAGCAGAATAACAATTCCCCCAAGGAAATGACCGATTTTGACTTCCAAGCAAGGTTTGAATAGTGTACAAAAGAAAAAAAAAAAAGGAAAAAAATTATAGGGCAACACTTAGAAAAGTATTTTGCATCCACTCCTAAATTGAAGGCTGCCCAACTTGTGCACTCTATAAGACACATCTCCTCTGGAAGACAAGGCTCCACGTAGATAATAACAGATGTGATATAAATCTGACTGTATTTGCCTTGAAAGCAAAACCCCTTCCTAAAACCAAACATTCACCCTCAAAAATGCTCCTAATTGCATAAAGACTGTATATAGCACATTCACAGAGAGGGGCCCAGTTACTGAACAGAAAGCCTGTTAACTATAATGCTGTAACTACGACACTAACCATAGCGTTGCCTTTTTAGCACTCTACTTTATGTCAGTGATGTTCCCTTAACATATTTTTGGTGTGTATAGTATTATATACATATAAACGCTGCAAGGAAGGAAAGAGAATTTTAGCCATAAATTATTTTACCCTGTCTCTTTAAACCGGGTACACAAAAACATGTTTGTGTTTATTGGAATAGCATCAGCGTGACTGACAGTGTATAGCGGATTTCATTTATCAGGTTTTCCTTATCGTTTCTGCAAACACTTTCCTCCTAATTGCATAACCTATGTTACAGGTTCATATAGCAGGAATGAAAATGGATTTGGTATGAGAATGAGCCTGAAGTATCTTAGTGAAAGATGAAGTGTCACCTCTCTCCGAATGGACAAAATACTAGCTGTATCTGAGAATTTTTGAGCCTATAAAAATCACTAAAAAAATTACCATGGGAGGCAGCTGTAATATTTTCAGGGGTGGGATTTTGGTTTTTAGGCGGGGAAGGAGGTTGCCTTTAAGTCAAATGCAATCAGACTCATATTCCATCTAGCATTATCTAAATACTCAACAACTGCTCTGCACTTCCTTCTCCTGTGTAATCAACCATTTCTGACCGCAGTACAGTAATGCTGCATGAAAACTACTGGCAGCATGGTAATCTGCTGCAGCATACCTGCAAGTGCTACCGAGTTCCCACAATCACAGACATGCCATCAGAAACAACAAAGAAAATTGGAGGGATTTGCTTCCAAACAAATCCCTTAAAACACCAGTGCTTTTAA